CCCCCGCGGCCAGGACCTGAGGCTTGAACTCATGGCCTGGGCACTGTCCCTGAGCCTCTTGGTACTTCAGGCTAGTACTCTATCATTTGAGCCACAGCGCCACTTCCATTTTTTTTTTTTTCTGAATAGTTTATTGGAGACAAGAGAGTCTCAATGACTTTCCTGCCCAGGCTGGCTTTGAACCGCGGTCCTCAGCTCTCAGCCTCCTGAGTAGCTAGGATGACAGGAGTAAACCACTGGGTGCCTGGCATACTTCCAGCTTTTTTGATGGTTCATTGGAGATAGGAGTCTCCCAGACTCTTCTCCTGAGGCTGGCTTTGAACCATGATCCTCAGATCTCAGCCTCCTGACTAAGCTAGGATTAGAAGTGTGAGCCTGGCTTGTACCTGAAATATCTACATACTCACCTAAACTCTGCTATTGGGACCATAGCTCAGGGGTGATAGCCTTTGTATGTAGTAAGGGACCCCTAAATGCTACATTATAACTTGGGGGAGACTGAGACCTCATCTCCTTACTGAACTGTGATAATCATGTGATCTATAGCAGTAATGACAAGGGAATATCAATACTACTTTTCTAGAAAGTTCTATCCCGGGGCTTGATTATATGAACAATGATTAGTGGCTCATGAAAATGCCCCAAAGGATGGTCAACAGGAATTAGAAGAGAAATTGTGCAGCCATTTCTGGATAGGAAACAGATACCTTCAGAGGCAGTAAATGCATGCAGAAAATCGAATTCCACTTTCCGGAGAGAATTATGGTTCCAGGGAGGAATCTGTTTCTCTGTATAATTTCATATTCTTCCTCTCAAATCTTAGATTCCCAGGCCTTTATAGTTTGGTAAACAGAGAAACCACAATCACAAAATCAATGTATAGCTGGGCGCTGGTGGCTCACACCTGTCATCCTAGCTACTCACAAGGCTAAGATCCGAAGATCACAGTTCAAAGCCAGCCTGGGAAGGAAAGCCCATGAGACTCTTTTCTGCAATTGACTACCCAAAAGCCAGAAATGGTAGAGAACTAGCCTTGAGCACAAAAGCTCAGGGGTAGTGCCCAGGTTCTGAGTTCAAGTCCCATGACTGACAGAAAAAGAAAAAAACTATCTCCTGGATGAAGCAAGAAGGAAAGTTTGGGGAAAATGAATGGCTATGGCAGGTTTCATGTGATTTGATGATTTTTGTTTTGTTTTTGCAATACTGCAGATTGAAACTAGGGCCTCACGCATGCTAAGCAAGTGCTCTGCCTCTTTTTTTTTTTCTTTCCTTGTAGGTCATGGAGCTTGAACTCAGGGCCTGAGCACTGTCCCTGAGCTCTTTTGCTCCAGACACGCACTCTACCACTCTGCACCACAGCTGGTGGTTAAATTAGAGCTAAGAGTCTCACAGACTATCCTGCCCGGGCTGGCTTCGAACCACAATCCTCATATCTCAGCTTCTTGAATAGCTAGGATTACAGATGTGAGCCACCAGTACCTGCTAGTGTTCTATCTCTCAATCCATACCTCTATCTCCCCCGACTTTTGGTTTTGCTTCTAATACTGGGGCTTGAACACAGGGCCTGGATGCTGTCCCTGAGCTGTTTTACTCAAGGGTAGTACTCTACCACTTTGAGCCACAGTGAACATGTCTGGCTTTTTGGTGATGAATTTGGAGACAAGTTTCACAGTCTTGCCTGTCTTGAGCTGGCCTCAAACTGTGATCCTCAGATCGCAGCCTCCTAAGTTAGAATTACAGGTGTGAGCTACTTGGGGGGGGGTTCTAGCCTCCCAACCCTTTTTTGTTTTTGTTTGTTTGTTTTTGGCAGTCCTGGAGCTTGAACTCGGGGCCTTCTGCTCTCCTCATTGGCATTCTACCACACCCCCCTAGTTCTTTTTATTTATTTTAGGATAGGGTCTCACTAACTTTTTCCCGGCTGGATTTGAACTCAGGGCTCTCCTGCCTCTGCCATTACAGTTGTACACCACCGTGCCCAACTGGGCCCTATGGTGTTTGAAGAAGTCTAAGAAATGGGAGGCAAATAGGAAACATCTTAGACCTCTTCTTAACTATTTTAGACGTGAAAAGAGGGTGGGACCTGAATGTTTAACCTACCCTCTGGTTCATTTTCACCCAGAGAACTTCCTACCTCCTAGTCATGACATTACTCCAGCTAGCATGTTCTTCATCAGTCTAGTAGAATGTCAAAGTGCTTAAGATTCCTTCACTGTATATTGTGACATAAAACAGGAAAGTTGACATAGCTGGTGGAGAATGGGTGTGCAGGGCTCTGTGTGTGTGTGTGTGTGTGTGTGTGTGTGTGCTGAGCTTGAACTTAGGGCCTAGTACTACTGCCCCTTGTTTTTTTTTTTTGTTTTTGTTTTTTTTCACTCCAGGCTGGCGTGCAACCGCTTGAGTTATATCTCTCCTTCCAGCTTTTTTTCTGGTTCATTGGAGATAGGGGTATCACAGATGGATCTGCCCAAGTTGATTCATTCAGATTACATCAGTGTCCTTGGACTGTCTGCAAAAAAAATACACTACTTATCCTTGCTATCTGTGAGTATCAGGTTCTAAGCAAACCACTCATGCACGTAGGCATGAGTTCAAGCCCCAGCACTGACACAAAAAATTGCATTAGCCAAGTGTCAGTGGCTCATACCTGTAATCCCAGCTACTCTGGAGGCTGAGATATGAGGATTGTGGTTTGAAGCCGGCCCAGGCCCAAAAGTCTCCATGAGACTCTTACCTCCAATTAGACACTCAAAAAACAGAAGTGATGCTGTGGCTCAAGTGGTAGAGCACTAGCCTTGAGCACAAAGAGGTTCAGGGACAGTGCCCATGCCCTGAGTTCAAACCCCACAACTGGCCAAAAAATGTATTTATAAACTGATTTGTTCAATTGAATCCCCTTTGTACAACTACTTAAAAAATTAAGAATAGAATTTTATTGTAACATATAACAATTAAGTTAATATAAAAGTTAATCTGAGGATGATCATTCAAAGCCAGTCCAGGCAGGAGGGAAGTTTGTGAGGTTCTAATCTCCAATAAACTACCAAGAAGCTGGAATTGGAGCTGTGGCTCAAGTAGTAGAGCACTAGCCTTAAGCAAAAGAAGCTCAGGGGCAAAACACCTAGGCCCTGAGTTAAAGCCCCAGGACTGGCAGGCGCATGCACACACACACACACACACACACACACACTTAGTTTATATAACATTCTCAGAGTTATTCTAGGCAATTAGAATTTGAGTGGAGAGAATATTGAAAAGAATATTATAGCCAGGTGCTGTTGGCTCATGCCTGTCATCCTAGCTACTTAAAGAGGCTGAGATCTGAGGATCCCACTTTGAAGCTAGCCCAGGAAGAAAAATCCCTATGAGACTCTTATCTCCAATGAACAACTCAAAAATGGGAAGTGGAGCTGGGCGCTAGTGGCTCACGCCTGTCATCCTAGCTACTCAGGAGGCTGAGATCTGAGGATCATGGTTCAAAGCCAGCCCGGGCAGCAAAGTCCATGAGACTCTTATCTCCAATAAACCACCAGAAAACCAGAAATGGTGCTGTGGCTTAAGTGGTAGAATGCTAGCTTTGAGCTGAATAGCTCAGGGACAGTGCCCAGGCCCAGAGTTCAAGCTCCACAACTGACACACACAAAAAAAAAAGAAGAAGAAAAAGAAAAGAATATAGAGAGAAAGAGACTGAGAAAGAGTATACACATTTTCTAAAGTCAACGAGCTGCAAAAATAAATAGAAGGGAAAGGAGAGTAGTTCTTCCTTATTTTTGCCAGTCCTGGGGCTTAAACTCAGAGCCTGGGCTTTGTCCATGAGCCTTTCTGGGCTCACAGCTAGCACTCTACCACTTGAGCCACAGTGCCACTTGCGGCTTTTTCTGCTTATGTGGTGCTGAGGAATCGAACCTGGGGCTTCATGCATGCAAGGTAAGC